TCTGTTTGGTGGCCCAGAGCTGGTTTTATCCACTACAGCCTTAGCTTTATGAGACTTAGTCATTCTATTACTGCAAATATCTAGTGCTGCCAACTAATGAGGGAGCTTGCGATTAAACAGCCGTCATTAGTCCCCTTGCAGGGCAACGCTCGACCAAATGTTGCACAAACGACGCTGCTCAGGCTACAGGAGCCGGACTTAGAAATTTTCTAATATTATTGACAATTTGATTACTTCAATGTCTGTGCAAAAAGAGATGATCGCACCACCAGCCTGGTGCGTGCTGCTCCTTATTTTACTTCTGAGCACAGCTTTTATCTTTTCAGTGGCATTTCACATATCCTTTCCGGTTAAGCTAAGTGCACCCTGATCTGCATATCACTAAGAGCAGTTGTTGCATTTTATCCATTTAATTTGGACGGTTCTGATGCTTAAATAATAATAGAATGTAATTTGCCCACGATTTAGTCTACCTCTTTGTTTTTTTCCCCTCATCTCACCTTCCTTCTCCAAAAGAAAAGAATGCCTTCTGTCAAAATGCAAAATCAGACAAAAGTCAGTAGGCTCGTCAAAATAAAGCTTCACAAGGAAATTTCCGTAAAACTGAGAAAATCCAGGATAATATTGTTAAAAATAAAGCACCTGTTGACAGAAGTTTTTTTGCAGCTGGAAGCCGATATGGTAAATCGAGCTTGTGTGTTAAGCAAGTTAGCGAACTGTCCATTAGCTGTGGTGTCGCTTTGCTCCAAGGAGGGCGCCGATACTGTACTGAGACAGCGGGGCAGTATGGTGATTCCAGAGGTAACTTGATTTCGAAACAAATTCCACTGTATCGCTGTACAGGATTAAATATTTTGGACCAGTACTGTATGTTGAAGATAGCGACACTTGCTTTTTTTTTTCGCGGCTGAAGTAGCCCACAGTTGTCGAGGCGCGCTGAAAACCTGTGATTGTAGTCAGTTTCTAAAAGTCGGCTGAGCTCAACAAAACTATGAGACAAATTGTGATGTCTATGGATATAATAGGGTAGGG